CCTGTCCCACCCCACCTGTCCACCGCACCTGTCCCACCCCACCTGTCCACCGCACCTGTCCCACCCCACCTGTCCACCGCACCTGTCCACCGCACCTGTCCACCGCACCTGTCCAGGTAGGACCGCTCACCCAGTTGCCTAGATCTGATACTCTGCCTGCCTCAGACACATGGACATTGTCCTCCACGTTAGTCATTCTCCTTGTCCTGGGTTTTGCCTCACACATCCCCGTATAATGACCACTGACTGGGTGAATACATGTGGCAATAGTTTGAACAGGTTTGTAGTAGCAATAAATAAAATAAGTGAAATGAGTATTTGTTGTCCCAAACATAACATGGGTCATCTCCCAAACTGCCCTAGGTATGTCCTACCCCCTAGATACTCCCAGTACCTTTAGCTGGCTCAGATGCAACCCGCTCTCTACCTACCTGCCTGGGTACCGCAAAACCCACACCTGCTCTGATGAGCAGGGTGGAGCCAGGTCTGCCCTGGGGCTCGGTCGCCCTCCCCATCTCCTGTCCTTTCTCGGCTGGCCTCTCCTCAGGAGAGTGACCAGGTCTGGGCCCCAGAACCCTGCTGCCGACTGACCACAGCTCCTCTGCTGCCCAGGCCTCCCACCCCCCTGGCGGACCGTGCCTTCTCCACCTTTCCGTCCTTCGGCTCCGTGGGCGCATGGCTGGAGGCCCTGGACCTGGGCCGCTACAAGGACAGCTTCACCGCCGGTGGCTACGGGAGCCTGGAGGCCGTGGCCGCCATGGCCGCCCAGTGAGTGTGAGGAACCTGTCTGGGAGGGCCCGAGCCTGTCCTAATTCTGGGCCCTTCCCTGTCCCGGCGGAGGGTGGGAGAGCAGAAGAGGGTTTGAGCCAGCTGGGTCTGACCGGCCCTTCTTTCAGGGACCTGGTGAGCCTGGGCATCTCGTCGGCAGAACATCGAGAGGCCCTCCTCAGCGGGATCAGCGCCCTGCGGGCACGCGTGCTCCAGCTGCAAGGCCAGGGGGTGCAGGTGTGAGCCGCGCCATCCTTCCAGGCCAGGACCCCAGCCCTCACAGGGACCCTGGCACGCCGTGCCCCGGCAGGGTGGAAGTGAGCGCGCTCTCCCTGCACTCGGGCCCAGAGCTTGTTTGCGACCACAGGGCCCCTCATTTCACTGCCTACTCCTCCCATTTTTCCCCAGTCTGAACACCTTGGCTGACCCAGTCTCCCTGGCCAGAGGGTTTAAATTCCTGGGGAGAACCTCTGAGATAACAGCAGGAGAAAATGCAGGGCCCCAGGGACCATGGTGGGCAGGATGGAGAGGGAAGACCTAGCTTTAAATAGCCTCATTCATGTTGTTCTGTCTTCCACACCCACTGGGGCCTGGGGCCTACCCCAGTGGGTGCCCCTATTTCCCACAGACCTATTGGCCAGTTGACAGCATAGGTCCCTAATAAGCTCCCATGAGACCTGGCAGGGACCACCGCTGCCTGGCAGCCCATCCTGGGGGGCTTGGAGAGGCGAGGTCCTCAGCTCCCTGGGCATGGGCTCGGCCACACTGGTCCTGAGGCCCAGGCAGAGAAGGTGGTGCTGAGCTCCGGGGCTGGACCCCAAGACCCCAGACTCAGGAGCTGATTTCTGCCTCCCTTGCCCTTGGGCTGAGAGTTCAGGGTGAGGGTGAGGGTCCTGGCTAGGCCATCAAGGTTCTGGTGCTCCCCTGAGGCCCAGTGAGGCCTCCCGTTTGCATTCCTTTTGTAAATTCACTAGCCGGGACATCTGAGAAGAGCATGAGGGGAGAGGTTTTCTCCCTGGAGGACCCGTGAGCTTTGCTCATCCGCCCCAGGGGATGGTGAAGAGATCTTCAGAGGTGGACCTTCCCTCTCTGACAGGCTCTGAGCCACACTGTGCAGAGGAATGACGGAGGCTGGTGGAGGAGTCAGGGCCAGGACTGGGGTTGGAACTCATGCCCCCAACTCCCAGTCCGGGGCTGAGGTTGGCTCTGGAGAGAGTCCTTGGTCCTACCTTGTGATACCAACGCTTTTCCCCGAGGAAGCCTAGGGGTACTCTGAGGTGACCGCCTCTTGCAAGCGCTATCTCCTGAGCACCCCTTAAGCCTCCTGGGGAGCACCTCCCTCTGGCTTCTGTGGGGCTCTGGCAGGAGTGGCCACCCTGAGCTAACTCCAGAGTTCCTTATCCAGAAGGGCTTCCCAGAGGCGGTGGTGATCACGAGGCCAGGGCTTTCAGAGGACAACAGGAAGGCAGCTGGATCTGGACAGGATTCCACGGGCTGTGTTTGTCCAGGTCACCCCTGCCATATGCCTACTCTGGGCTTGGCTGTGTGCGGGTGGGGGGGGGGGGGGGGAAGGAAGAGCCAAGGGGGAGAAGAGGGGACGGATGAGACATCGAGCTGGCCCGTGGAGGGCTCAGCCCAGGTCGGGGGACAAGCTCAGGCACTGAGAAGTACGACAGGGATGCCTTCCAAAAGTGCCCCGGGCCCCACGGGAGACCTCGGGGTCTGTGGGCTGTGGGCCCGAGGGCAGATGGACAGTCTCATGATCTGTGTATGTGGAGGTGTGTCTGGAAAGGCTTCTTGGCTGAGAGGCTGATGCATAAGTTGAACAAGGCCTTTGAAGCTGGGGGTGGGGGGTGTCTCTCCCTGGGGTGGGTGCATTTTTGCACAGGCCAGGATGGAGGGCCTGGGACAAAAGGCATCCAAGCAGAGGGGCTAGCACCAGAAGGAGCCGGGAGGCTGGAAGATGGCAGCGCATTTGTGGGCAGCACCCATGGTGGCGGACAGTGCCTCACATCAGTGCCTTTGGCTCTTCTCTCCTTGGAGCCCCTCCCTCGGCTCCCCACCTCCTGGGCACTTGCCCCAGTCAGTGACTTTGAGCTTGAGATACTGCTTCCACCCTTGACAGGGCTTGGTGGGGGGGGTCTGTTCCCATGCCAGCTGCCCTCCAGCCTCGCCCCCTCCCCCCACCCAAGCCCAGAAAGGCCATGGTGTGAGGACCAGTATCCTGTCTTGGGTGGAGGGAGCCTCATCCCCATCTCCAGCTACATCGGTCATGCTCTAAAGGCCCAAGCCCCCTCCCCATCCCCCGGCTGTTCTGCAGAGGGACCCCCCCCGGCTGTGTTGGCAGGACTTCGGTGTCCAGGGTAGACCTCCCCTCCATGGAGGAGTGAGGTCCCATAACCCTGAGGGGTCCCAGACCTCTGCCCTGCACAGATGCAGGCTGACGGCTCTCTGGGAGCTCTCTACAGATCTATTTTTGTATGGAACTTGTTCACTGGACAGAGGGAGGTGGCGTGCAACCCTCCAGCTCCCCCATCTGAGCCCATCCAGGGAGGGAAGGGGCTGGTGGTGGGGGGGTGGTTCCTTTGACTAATTCTGGAGATGTTTTTATATTTCGTGGGTTCTATATGCAGGACAAAGTAATAAAAACTTGTCTGTGATAGGGTACCTCTTTCAGTGACAATTGCTTACCCATTAAGATCTTATGTGGGAGGTTTCCACCATCCCCCACTCGCCGTGTGGTGTCTCCAGAGTGTGTGTCTGAGGTCTCTCTGTGTAGACATGAATTGAACAGCCCTTGCCATGAAAGATCTCCCAGTCTAGGGAGGGTGGCCCTGGAGCGGAGAGAAGGAGCTCACCTGATCTCGGGAGTAGTAACCCAAGGGAGGCAACACTCAGGTGGTGGTGCCATTTTCTGAGATAGACAGCACATGGGGAGGGGAGCAGGGTGGGTAGGCATTATGGGGAGGAAGGCGGAAAATGACACGCTTGGTTCTAGATGTGTTTGAGGCGTGCAGGTGGAGATGTCTGGGAGATGGGTGGGTGCTGGGCCTGGAACTTGGCACAGACGCCGGCTAGAGGCGGAGCTCTGAGGGCTGTAGCTCCTGGGCGTGGGGGTGCGGGTGGGGGGGTGAAGCCAAGTGAGAAGGAGGTCTCCTTGGGCCAGCCCGGGTCGGGGGGGCGGGTGGCGCAGAGGGAGCGCTGGGGCAGTCTGCCACTGGGAGACAGCAGGTGAAGAAGAGCAGGAGACAGAGCCTGAGGGGAGCAACGGAGGGAAGCCAGGAAGCAGTCAGCCATGGAGGCGAAGGGGCAGTGAGTGGGGCTGTGAAATGCGGGGAAGCCATGTGAGCAGAGGGGGTGGGGGCGGCTGTCAGGGGCTCTTATCCCACGCCGTGCTGTTCCCAGGGCTGCCTCATGGAACGGCCGGCCGGCAGCTTGCACCGCCCAGCTCCGCTCAGTCCCATAGGCCCCCGGGGCTAGGAGTCAGAGAGCAGGGTGTTGGCAGGGTTGGCTCTTCCCGAGGACTTAGGCCTCTCTGCTGGGCTCTCAGACGGCGTCTTCACCCCGCCTTCCGTGTCCACATTTCCCCTTTCAGAAGCACACCAGTCGAACCAGACTGGCCCACCCGAATGACCTCCCTGGAACTTGACAACCCCTGTAAAGACCCTGTGTCCGAATAGTCACTTTCTGAGGTACCGGGGTTAGGACTTCCACCTGTGAATTTCGAGGGGGACATAATTCAGCCCCTAACAGTGGCCTTAATCGTGGGGGGCAGAAGCCACGTGAGAGGATCGAGGAGTGGAGTGTGGGAACCTTTTGGGGCGAGCGGCAAAGGGAGGAAGGTGGGATAAGACAGTGATCAGGGCGGAGTGGGGGTGTGGGCTGAATGCTGGAGCGCCGCCTGAGTGCTCACACGTGTGCACGCATATGCACACGCGCACCACGTGAGCCCTTGCCCTTTCCGGCTTCCTAGTGCTTCTGCTCTCCCTAGACCGGGCTGTTCGTGTTCACAGCTTGGAGAAGGTGTCGTATTTATTTGCTTAGGCCAGGGGGAGTGTGTGGGGCTGGGGCTGGGGCGGCGGGGTGGCAATAAAGAACAGCCCTTTCCTCCGTTCCTGTGCTCGGAACCAGTTGAGCACCGTTCACCGGGACAGACGGAGCACAAGATACCGGCTCCTTGATAAGGCTGACTGGAGAGTGCTGCTTACCACGTTTCTTCGAATCGAAGATGCCGTTGAGTGTGAGATGTACCACTAAGAAAACATCACAGCCAATTCAGCTGTGTCACGCCATCTGGTTGGAAGATGCATCCCGATTTCAGAGACGTTAACATGGATAAAATGTACGTCTTCGATAAATGAGTTGTGCTGTATTGGGACAAAGTGCCTTTCTCTGAATTAGACCCACCCAGTCCCAGGCTGAGCCAGGAAGCTGCAAGCCTCGTCTGCCCCGGGCAGCTTTGCCGGAGCGTCCTGCAGGGTGGGGAGCAGACCGGCGCGCACCCCGCTTGCGAGCAGGCGGACCTGCGGGACAAGCCAGGTGGCGCCAATTCAAGCAGGTTGTTCCGTTCAGGAAGTCGCTTCTTTCCCAGGCGGGGCGGAGTGAGCGAGCAGGTTGGGGCTGTCGGCAGTGTTGCTCTGTGGAGGTCTGCCTGAGTGGAGGCATGGAGCCGAGGAATGGGGGACCCCCACCGACCCTTCACACTGCACACAGTAAGTGTTCACTAAATGTTAGGATTAGCAAGCAAGGTGTAGCAAGGTGCACGGGTAGACATACAGTATATGGTGGGGGGTTGAAATGAACACCTCCGGGCAGCAGGGCTGCTGACGTGGTGTGACCCCCTATTTGGTCATTCGGTGAACCCAGCTCCTACCCTGTAGCAGCCACTTAAGAAGTTAAGAGCTCACGGCCTAATGGGGGTCAGTTAAGTAAAAAGCACGAAAGGCACAGCCAGAGGGATAAATCCTAGGTGTTGTGGGAGTCCTGGGGAGATGCAGGAGGGCCCGGGGGCGGGGGGAAGCCGTGTAGTGCCGTCACTGCCCTTACTCAGCATGACTACGTTCTGGGCTCAGCTCCTCCCTCGCATCGTCCCCTTCACACCGCTCAGGACTCAAGCAAAACTCCTCACTGTATGGAGCCCTCTCTTTAAATCTCTTGGTGCCCTTCGCCATCTAGACTCAGGCTTCTGCCAGTATCTTGAAAGAACCCAGCTAGTCTCCTCAGGGTTCTCCCTGATGCCTACCAGCATCTTGTGGGCAGATTATGGTTCTCTCAAGCCTCGCTCCAGGCAATATGTGTGGACTAAGACTGCTCGTGGAAGTTGAAGAGAAGAACTAGAAAACCAAAACGAGATGTTTCCCTGCTGCAAGCACCTTACACCTCCTCCCAGATAGGCTGCGTCTTGCCCCTTCTCCTCCCTTGCCCGCTGCACTCATCCTCGACAGTCCGCTGGGGCATGGTGAAGAGAGAGGTCTGATTTGAAGGCGTGTAGTCTTGGAGAGTGTCCCCTGCCTCCACCCTGATGGCTCTTAGCACATTGTGGCACACGGCCCTGAAAGTTTGCAGATGGGGAGCTGGGCTCTTCCCAGTATCTTGGTGCCAAGGGTGTGTTCTGGGCTCCACCATCTGCATCATCTGAGGATCGGAAGATGCCAACTTCATAGACCCTAAGATCAACTAAGGGAAAGACGATGGCAGAGTGTAGAAGGCAAGTGCAGATTACAGCTTACAGCGGGGATGGGGGGGTGGGGGGTGGGCACTGTTTAACTGGGGAGGTGATGCAGGCGGGGGAGGGGGGGCTGGGGTAATGCCTCATCCTGTGACGGAGGAGGCAGGCACCTGAGCCAAAGCAAATTGGATTCCAGACTCCCATGGAGTGCAGAGCCCAACGTGGACCCCAGTTCTGACCACACTCTCTCCTAGTGTCTCCAACGCCTCCCATTTCTGAAGCCTCAGGAATGATCTACTAGTAAAACCTTCAGCACATATGTATCATGTTGTATTTTAGGTGTGGGTCAACAGCTGTCAATGTGTGAAATTAGAAAGGAAAACACTTCCCAGAGCTTGTGCACATGTGGGCACGGAGACAGTTTTCCATCACATGCAAACTCATCGGTGGCAATGGGGATCGCAGTTCCTTTGAGCTACAAAGTGTGTCTGACGCCGTGAACGAGCGACGCTTAGGTGAGGTCCTACCATTCACATCCCAAGAACTAGCTCTTCATACGAATAATTTAACTCTTTGTAAGGCCATACGTTTGGAATTCTTTCAACAGGAAGCCCCAAGTAGGGCTTCTGGAAAGATCAGGAAGCCTGCAGGGCCAAGAATGAACCTGGTGTTTATTGAAACTCTAGGACTCTTGGCGGCTGCCTCAGGTGCCCTGGTAAAGGGGAGGACTCGGAGCCCCATGCTCCCTCCAACCCAGAGCAACTCTGCTTTTATTCCCTTCATCCACACAGCAGAGGGTACAAAGTAAACTGCCTACCGGGGCGAGGCATGTAACAAAGGGAAGTGATCTACCAGGGGTTGTTTTGAATGGGGAGAGGATTCTCTAAGGAAAGCTGCTCTCGGCTCCAGCTGGCTGCTATCAGATCTTATTTTTTGGAGGCTAGCATTTTTGTGAAATCTCGCAATTTTTAAATTGTAACTAACTTGAAAAAACAAAATCCAGTGAAAGTAAGCCTGTTTGGTTTGTGGGCTGGCAGTATGATTTAAATTTTCTTTGCAACATCCCAACCCTGTGCTAGTTCAGACCATGCTTTAAATCGGGGGATGGGTGGGGAATTCATTACCCTCCAAGTCCGCCCCTTATATGGAATGAAAGGCTGCTCTATCTTCATCACATGACTGGCACCTGTACGGCACCTGCTACGTACTACACATTCCCTCCACCTGGGTTCATTTAGGCAGTGGTGCAAGTGGAATGAAATAGGGTGAGGATGGCTCTTGGTCAAGCAGGTTGGGTCCTAAGTGTTTCCTTGATACCAGGCTCTTCTTGACACCGCCCCAGATGATAAAGGAAAAGGTGTAAGCTTCAGGTTTGGTGACTGAAAACGAGTGACCTTTATTCCAAAGCTGTCACTGACCACAGGATCCTTCCCCATCCATCACTGTCAGTGCCAGATGACCGGGCTAGATGAGCCATTTTTATCTTCTGCCATTAGGTCCATGTGGATCGTTTTCAGTGCAGAAAGAATTTTAGGCAGGCAGATCTGCCAGAGCCCTGGAACTCTGGGAAGCGAGAAGCATGAAAACTGCATTACCTGTGCCCCTGCTTTGTTGCAGGCCAACAAGCCTTGACTCTACGTGTAAACTATAGATAGCCTAGAGACTTCCCATGTTTCAATTTCTTGCTCATGAACAAATGTGTTGGGGTAAACCTACTTGGGGTGGGTTACCTATGGCCTGCGTGTTGGGGTGAGGGCTCCATCTTCAGATATGAGAGAGATTCTGCCTACAGGAAGGTTTCCATATCTTCTGAGGAAAGCAGCTGCTCGGAGCCCCCCCACTGGGATAGCTTCAGCTCCCAGATGGCCTCTAGTCCAGGTAGCACAGCTTGGAGAGGACAGGCAGGCTGAATATCGATTAAAAACGAACCAACCCGGGCGCCTGGGTGGCTCGGTTGGGCGACTGCCTTCGGCTCAGGTCATGATCCTGGAGTCCCGGGATCGAGTCCCGCATCGGGCTCCCTGCTCGGCGGGGAGTCTGCTTCTCCCTCTGACCCTCCCCCCTCATGCTCTCTCTCTCTCAAATAAATAAATCTTTAAAAACAAACCCACAATTTATTGAAAACGGGTACCTTTCAGTAGCCCTAATTACAACAGCTTAAAAGATGCCATTAATCGGGAACACGATATGCACAAGTTTCAGGAAAGGGAGAATAAAACAACTTGAAACAAGGAATACAGCTACAGGACTGGATTGCTAGGCGGGTCACAGAGCAAAGTGACACGGAGTAGAACACAGCCACACAGGAGGACACAGTGAACTCCCAGTTCCCATGTTTTTGGACCACATCTCATGATTTGCCAGGGCAGAGGTACAGGCTGGGGCACAGGGACCGAGGTATGGAGTAACTAGCTGATGCCCGGGGCACAGGCCAAACACGTGGAATGAGGCCACCAGGCAATTCACACCTGCCCCCCAATGAACCCCATAAGAGGGAAGTGTTCTCTGCAAAGTCTGTGGACCTGGCAGGGACCACTGGACCATGGAGAGCTTAGAGATAGTTCCTCTGCAGCTGGTCACATAAAACCCTAGACTAAGCTAAGCCCTAGAATGCTCTTACCCAAATTCCTACCAACTAGAGAGGTAGAGGTGCCAGACATGGAAGCTGCCTCCAAACCAGTTTTTGGTCTTCGGTAAAGGGATAAATACAAACCGCGGTTCCACAATCAGCTTGGAAAAAACTACTGGGCACAGCGGGTGTTAGATCCCGAAGCCCCATTTAGTATCCACCACAGCGGAAAGCAGGGATGGGGGCCGCCGGGCTGAGATGGGCTCAGCTGTGGCCACTGCTGGGACACGTCCCATTCTGCTGTCCTGTCCCCATGTGTATGCTTCCTCCCAGCTCTCTGGACCCGTCCTCTCCCCTCAGAGAGCTCTCACTTCTCTGAGCCTAAAACTCCCAGCCTCGAGCAACACGGAGCGGAAATGGCAGATGCAGAGAGTTCTCTGAGGAGGGGGAGCGGGCAGTCTTCCTGGGGACGTGAGGTGCTCCCACGCCACCGCCACTGGAGGACAGACAGGATGCCGGGTTACACAAGGCAGAAGGCGGCAGCTCTGAGCAGGAAGGAGAATTCTGCCGGGAGAATGACAGGAAATCTCGGCTGCACGGATGCAGCAGGCAGTGGGGTTGGGAGGCGTGAGCAACAAAGCTTTATCTAACCGATGGGGGAGCAGCGTGTCTCCCCACTTCCCAAATTCTCCCAGAGGAACACCACTCCCCGCCCTGGAACTTCACACGCAAACAAACAGCCGGAAGGGAAGAGGTCTCCTCAGAGGCCCGGAAGTGCCCGCTGAGGGTCCGTCGAGTCAGGTTTGGCTTCTCGGCGCGGCAGCCTCATTTGTGAGTCCGTATGCTGCTGCAGATCTGGGCGAGGCGGCTCTACAAAGGGAAGAGGCGGGTCACCGAGTGAAGACAGCACTGGCCATGCCTGCCTGGTAGCCACTTAGAGACTCCCCTTGGGTGACACTGGATTTGGGGTCGGCAAGTCTGAGTGAGCTCAGCCCTCCGTTCTCTGTACCCCAAACGAATGAACTGGCCCGAATCCCCACTTCTCGTCCGAACACAGGAGTAAAATAAGACCTCAGATGAGCCGGCAGGGCTGGTGGTGCAGCTAAGGGGATGAACGTCACCAGATCTGGGTGGCCGGGTATGTGTGGGACCTCGGCGCGGGGCTGGCTCCCCTGGATGTACCCTTCCCAGACCCCCTGAGGGGGGGCGCCGGGGGCAGCCATGTTTGCACGGAGGGCTCCCATCCCCCACCTGGGACGGCACTGACTGGACCACGGGGGCCCATCTGACCAAAGCTGAACCAACTCAGTTCCCCTCCTGAGGATTGAAGGGGAGCCAAGAAGCTGGACAGTCAGTGCTGGGCATTAGGGCAGCGACGTCAGGGTTGGGAGTGTGGCTGCCGGAAGCCGCGTGCAAGAAGCCAGTACTGAAGGAGAACGCACCGGGGCGTGGAGGGGGTTCTCTGTGGAGAGGGAGGGATGACGGAGTGTCACAGAAGTGCACGCATGGGGGGCCTCAGAGACAGAGGCGCTACGGGAGCCAGCGCACCAGAATGGGGCTCCGTAAACGCCTGTCACCGAAGGTCCCACGGCTCCAGGAGCCTGGCTGTCCAGCGCTTTCTTTGATTCTGTGGGACTCCTCGGAACAAGCCCCTCCCTCCAGGAAGCTTCCCTCCCTGGCAGTCGATCACGCCTTCGCATAATGGCACCAACTGCCCGAACGAGGCAGAATTTTGATTCTGCTGTGGAACTTTTGCGGCAGGCGCCCCGGGACAGACTGAAAGGCAACATCAGTTCAGCGACAGAAGTGCTGCTAAAAATTCCTTGGGAGAAAGATGACAGCACAATGCTAAGTATGAAGCCCAGGCCAAAAAGACAATCCTAGGGACAGCAAGCTGTTGGAGGTATCCCGTTGTGCGGAGGGTTACAAGACTCACGGAGAGTTTCTTGATGTTTCCCAAGGCCTCTGGGTCCAGCTGTGCGATGTCCATCCTCTGCAAGTCACTAGCCAGTAATCGCATGCTCTGTGTGGAGAGCAGAGTGGGTTCAGTTGCCGTGTCCCTTGAGGCAGGACCCTGCACCCAGTGCCTCAGTGTGCCCCAGGGGCCCCCTTGATATCCTGCACTTTTGGGCAGGGGGAGCAGGGAGCGGCGAGGCAGTTAGGAGGTAATGACATCAGTGTTGTCACTGGCCCGTGGCTGGCCCACCCGGGGACTAAGGGCACGGACATTAGCTTAGACATGCCCTGCAGACATATCTGAGATACACCTTCCTTCCCTCCTAGGACCCGAGGTCCGCAACTTGCTCTACCCAGCTCAGGGCAACTGGGCTCAGCCCAAGTCAGAACCCCTCCAAGTTATCCAGAGTGGGAGACACAGCTCATGTTCCCCTTCCTAGAGCACACACCGTGATGCTGCCTTCCTCTGCGCTCCCTTTAGTATCTCCCTTACTGCACGTGTCCTGTGACCCTAGACTTGACTGTGAACCTATCTCGACTACTGAACGGCTTCTCAAGAGCAGGAATCATGTCGTCTACACCTGGGGCCTGCCATAAGGCAGGTGGCCAAATGTTAGCTGATGAACAAACGGAACATGGAGCCAGGCAAGGATCCCAGCCCGGGCCTCCAGCCGGGGTGAGAAAACTGGTTCGGAGTCCCGCAGAAATGTGCACATCGGGATCCATGTGACCCAAAGGACTGTGGGGGTGAGGAGTGGGTGATGGGCCAAGGAAAGAAATGCCCAGGGAGCTGTGCGTGGCGGGCTGGCCTCCCTGTGAGATGCTCACCTCTCCACCGCCCACTGGCACTGTGAGGAAAATCTCTCTGCTGTCGGCAAGAGGGCTGCCATTCACGGAGATGTTGTAGATCCGCTCTCTGGCTGCTGGAGTACGCAGGCCCGGGGTCTTGAAGACCCTGCGAAGTGGGAAGATCTCTGTCAAGATGGCTTGGCAGAGTGAGTGACACAAGGCGCCATGAGCTCTTCCAACCCCCATCTGGCCTCAAGCTGTAGTTTTCAAATCCTGCATTTCTAAGAAGGCGAGTTCTAAATTTAGGGCAAAAAGTCTTTTTAAACGATAATGACTACACACAGCTGGAGAAGGGAGCGTGTAATGATTAAACACGCATCTAGCCAAAGTCAGTTCTTATCCATGGAAATCTTAGGTCCCAAGCTCTGCATGGACACCAGTCATCCATCCATCCACAGAGCTAGAAATAAACTATGGTTAATGCACTTCCAAGAGTGGCTAAGTGCTTCCAGCAAGAGGAATTTTCCAGGGTCAAAAAAGGAGGATTCAGAGATTACATCATTACATTAATTCCCAAATAAACTTTCTCAAGACAGTTAAAATCCTGCTACCTGTTTTTCTCTAAATGTCCTTTGCTTTATGCACATGTGAAAAAAGAGTTCAAGAGTGGGAATTAAAAGAAGTCTTCCTCCCTCTCCTCACCCCAGAGATCCCGACTTTCAATTCCTTATGCCTTCCAGAAACATTCTCTGTATATAGACACAAACGGGATCATTTAGGACACAGTCGTGCAGCGTGCTTGGAGACACCCGTGGTCATGACGCTGCTCCATCAGCACATACAGAACTGCTTCTTTATGGCCCCAGAGCATTTCCTATCCAGTTGACCAGCCTGGTGGAAGACATTAGCTTCCAGCCTGGGTCACATTCGTCTCCCTGGTGTGATGTGGTGCCCATTCTCACTCTTACCGAGGGTATAGGAGAGTACCTACCCATTTTGAAAAAATATTTTTGTTGGTCAGAAACAGAAGAGGCAGAACGAGAGTCACTAGAGGCCTCCTAGTCCTCAGAGGCAGAATATTCTCCTCTCATCAAATAGACTCATTTTGTCGCTGAAAACAGGTGAACCTGCACTCAGGGGAGAGGCAGACACTAGGAAGCCCAGACAGCTACCCTCTTCCCACAGGGCTTGCCGGGCCAAGGAGTTGAGTGTTTTCCCACATGCCCTTCTTATGGACTGAGGTGAACTGCTGGGCTCCCACCCAGATGCAGGCGCTGCCCCCATTACTCACCTCGAGTCAAACCTGGGGGTCAGGCCTGGAGTTGGTTTCACCAATGACAACTCCAGCCGGCCCACAGCTGGGGTGATAGTGTTATAATGGCTTGACCTGCAGGTGAGAAGAGGCCATTAGGTGCACAGGTCCCACATGGAGGGCACTGACCATGTGGCTACGTTCCGAGAGCCTCATGTACACTAACTCGTGCAGCCCTCCCAACAACCCGGGACACATGGCTGTGATCCTCATTTACAGCCGCAGAAACTCGAGCATAATGAGTCAAACAACTTGGCCAGGATCACACAGCCCATGAAGGTGAGGCCAGAACTCTGAAGCTAGGCAGTCAGCCTCCAGAGTCCGGCCTCTCAGTCAGGCTAACGGAACAGGAGGAAGGAGACAGCCTCTCAACACCCTGCAGGCCCCTCAGCCAGAGTTCCTGTCCTCTTTCGAGGCACCCACCACCGCTCAGGGAGAGTCTCCTTCACAGACACACATCCCAGCCACTACATTCTAACCTTCTTGAGATGTGGCCTCCGGGCCCCATCCCAAATGGTTTAGCAGGGCCCAGCATAATTAGTTCAAGTCGATGGTGATTCTTAACTGACTAGGACCAAGAGGAACACTTGAAGAAACAACTATAGGAGGTAGGTGAAAGCCACTTTGTGACTGGCCACAGGGGAGCTCTGCACGTGGGCTGTCAGGCAAATGAACAAAATTTGCAGCACTTATGACAGGTTTCTGGTCTTCACTCTCCCTGGTGGCATTAAAACAAACAAAAAAAGTCGGGGAGGATAGAGGACGTGGGCAGAACTGGAGAACGTGTTGGGTCAGATCATTTCTAGAGGCCCGTCCAGCTTGGAGACTCAAGTTCAAGCCACAAGAACCCTTTCACCCCCGTCTCTGCCATGAGGGATGGGGCTCTCCAATAACACCAAAACACACACGGACGTTTGGAAAACCCGTCACCTTTTGCTTTTGCCTTTTCCTTGTACGGACTGGGTTCTCTTCTTGGATGGAGGACACTTTTTGACCTGGATTCACAATCAAATGACACTGTGGTTATAAAAAGCCCCAAAATGGGGAAAGTGAGGGAGGGTAAAGGGTAAGTAAGAAAAGGAGGGGAGGGGGACCCACTCCGGAAACTGGGGTTGATGAACATGAGCTCTATCTCCCAGAAGTAAGTGGCTTAAGTAATACGGAATGTGACCGATCAATTAAGGACTTCCACCACCTGGGTCTTCAAAGTAGAGGGTTTTGGCCAAGATTAAAGGTAAATCTCTTTTAAACTGACTGCAGCCTGGCCGGGACCCCCCACCGCTCCCCCATGAAATGCTGCTGTGAAGGTCACTCAGGCCATCCCGGGGTGCCCAATCTTCCCTGCTGCTCTGGCTGTCCCTGCACAGGCTGCGCATGAGCCCCTCCTTCCAGCTTCCCCCCAGGTACCCATCCTCAGCCTCCCCCTCCACGCCCTCTCTGCACAACCTCATGGACGCCCACGCTGGGTGTCAGTGTGCCTCTATCTCCTACTCCTTCCTGAGCTCCAGGCTGAAATTTCAGAAAAGGATAGATCCCTCGACATGTCAAGTAATTGGCACCCTGGCTGCTCGCCTTCACCTGAACCCAGCACTGCTCTTCCTCCTGTGGGCCGCCTTCCACAGATGAGGCGAGCCTAAGCTAGAGACGGATCAGTCATCCCCGCTTCCTCCCTTCCTCCACTGGTCCTGCTCACATTTGTCAAAACCATCCCTTCTCTGTGTATAGGATCTGGGCCTCAGTTTAAGAATTACAACAGCCTCCCAACTGGTTTCCTTGTCTCCGGTTTTTCCCCTCTCCCATTTGTGACTCACCATGACTAACCTGATGAAATGGAAACTTCCGAGCCTGGCACACAAGGCCATTCATCGTTGGGCCTTCCTATACGCAGATCACCCACAGCTTACAGCCCTGTCATCCCCAACAGCTCCCTGTTCCTTAAATGGAACTTGAAGGAACTTTCCTACCTCCTCCTGGGCTTCCCTTCCCTTTCTTCTTCAGCTAGTGAAATCTCCCTCATTTTAAAGGCCTGGGTGTACCCTAAGCAGGGAGGTAAAATTTGATAGCTTCCTCTTCTGCCTTCTATGTGCTTTATACACACTTCTCTGATCGCTTTTGTTATGAGCCATTTAAATGGGTTCTTCTCTACTAAACAGTGAACTCTGGCGGGTGGGGTTGGGCAAGAGGAGGTTAGGTATTTTTGTTTCCTTGTCTCCTGTCAGCTCCTAGCCCCAAACCCGAGTGCCTACTTACTCTTGCAGTTTGAAGATTCTTGTTCTTATTTTCTTCTTCTTCTTCCACTATCATTTCATCCACTTTCATTATCTTTCGTGCTATAAGAAACAGTTTTAACAAAGTGATCTTTCTCATAGGAATAAACTTTCATGCATTCACATTTCTTACAGGAAATAAAACATATGCAATCTTAGGCTGTAATCAAGAAATAGACTTTGAATATAAAAAAGATGAGTTTTTTTTTTTTTTTTAAGAGGGTTTAGACAGAGAAAACTAACCAGACTGGTTAACGAAGCCCATGTGATGCCCAGCATTCCGGTGAGAGCAAGACGCTGGACTCTGCTAGACTTGAGCGTGAGGCCCAGTCCTAGCACTGCCCAGGTCATGGGGCTTTCACTGTGCTGCTTCAGTTTCCTCATCTATAAAAAGGAGTAGTCACTTCATAGGGGTATTATGAGACCTGGGATGTGCTCCACAAGAATAGCATCTTTGTTACTCTTGTTTCATTTCCCCTAGAATTGTGCCTGTAAGTGTTTAAGTGTCTGTGGAATGAATGAACATAAAGCCCTTTGGACAGTACTGGACACATGTTATAAGAAGTACTATTTATTACAGGGGCGCCTGGGTGACTCAGTCGTTAAGCATCTGCCTTCAGCTCAGGTCATGATCCCAGGGTCCTGGGATGGAGCTCTGCATCGGGCTCCCTGCTCCATGCAAAGCCTGCTTCTCCCTCTCCCACTCCCCTTGCTTGTGTTCCCTCTCTCACTGTGTCTCTCTTTGTCAAATAAATAAAATACTTTAAAAAAAAGTTTATTTATTACAATAAAATATCATTTACATAGATTGGAAAAAACTTTCTAAGCACCGCAGCTGTTTAGTGATGAAAGTTAGTGTCTCACTGCTAATCTGTACAACCATTAGCCAGCCAATCTTGAGCAGGGAGTCCACAGAGAAAATTCAGGCATCTGATCATGGAGCGGGGTGGGGGATCAGACGAGACAAATTTTTAGCTTTTTACTTCCTGACACATTAAATAATATATTTATCTTTTTTTTTTCCTTTCTCTTTTTGGAAGTAGCTTATAATGTAATCAAAGCCCAGTGGTCAAGAGGGCACAAAAACAATTTTTACTGTTGGCTGACTCGGGTCCTGGTGTGTCTGTTCCCAGGGATGAAATCAGAAGACCCCCTCCACCAGCACTTGAGCAAAACTTGTGGAATCCAGAAAAGAAACCGGTATTACCTAAATGTGGAGATAAACCAAAGTGAACTAAAAGACTGTAACTAGGAGGAGCTCCAGGAACACCTGAGTCCAATCATGTCATCGCCTCATGGAGGTGGCACTGGGACATGACACCGGCAAAGCAAAATCCTCACGCTCTCCTCACGCTACAAGGCCATTTGGATGGGAAGCAAGATGGAATAAGAACTGGACAGTGCTTCTGGCCCAACCCAGTGGAAAAGTGCCCTGGTTTGACCAGGGCAGCCCCAAAATCCAGGCCCTGGGTCAGGCCTGTCCTCGCAAGATGTGGACGCACTGAGCTATGAAAGCTTAATGACAGTAACATAAAGTCTGTAACAGAGCGCATCCTGTCCTGGTTCCACACTCACCAATTACAACCGGGCTTCCCAAACACGTTCCCTCTAGGACAGCATTTCTCAGCGTGTGGGGCATGTGGGAGAGATGATTTTCCGCAGCAGGGCACTGAATCCAGGAACGTGGGGTGGCGCCTGGAGGATACCGGCCCTTTCACAATTCTCTCTCAACCCTTCTGATCACATGGGACTGCCTCGGCGGGCCTTACCACCATGTTCTGGAATGCCTCTCAGGCCCACCAACCTCTTTAACTGGAGCAGCTGATGGCAGTCATGGCTCCCACACAGCTTTCCCTCTCCTTCCACTCTCACTCTTGCTCCCACATTGGCCGGGAGCTTGCGCACTATTAGTCCTGCATACAATTAACTCAATGCAGTGGGCCAAAATCACATTCTTGGATTTGCAAGACCGAGGACCAGGCATTAGAAGGAAGAGGCCCCACCACTGAGGCCTCTGAGCAGCCAGCCAACCACCTGGCCTCCACTCTCCCAGTTCAACAAGGGGTTCTAAAAAGTACTCACTTTTGGCAGATTTCAAGGGTGTCTGAATAGCTTCTGCTGTTAGTCTGTTTATTTCTGTGATATCCAGGTCGGCCTATGACAAACACAGTCAGAAAACACCAGGCATATTCCATCAAATATGGAGAATAGTTTAAGACTCAAAACAATTAATTTCAAAAACATTATTTATTACATGCAAAAGACTGTTATGTATTAGTCATAACATGATATAGTGAACTCCTATAAATGCACAATACAACCCAAGAGCTAAAACATTGCTGATTACTTGCTTCTAGCTCCATATTCTTCCCTGTTCTATTTCCTTGTCTTCCTCCAGAGGTGACCACTATCATTCCATTTGCTTAAAAGAAAGCGTGTGTGTGTTTTGTTGCATTTTTTTTAAACAAACATATATGTGCTTAAATAATATTTTATTTGGTTTCGCTTCTGACCACTATTTGTTGTTGTAGTTCATTTGTTTTTCAATGCCATGTAGCATCCCACTGTGTGACTCTATCACAATGAATTTCTCCAATCTCCTGTCAACAGTCTTTTGCTACTCCAAACATCTTCTACATGTGTCTGATGCATGTGCCCAAGTTCTCTCTTGGCTATAGGGATGGCGCACTGGAGGGTTGTTCCACCTATTAGGCCAAATCATTTTCCAAAGTGGTTGCACTTCATTATGTCCCATCGGCAAACAATACAAGTTGCTAATGACTCACATTATCTACAATTGGTGCTGTAGTAGACTTTTTTCCAGTCTAGAGAGTCAATAAGGTTTTCTGTTGCACCCACGGGCCCTTCAAAAAGGCTTCTAGTCGCTGCCATTCTAATTAAATGTGTTCCCAGTGGTGACTACCTATGTGAATGAGAATAGCCACAAGCAGGCATGATTCTATGCCTTTCCTTGCAGGGCACATGTAAATATCAGAAGAATTGTTATAGACTAGGGATGACAGGTTTCATCTCCAGACTGGTAGGGACTCCATGGAGTGCTCAGAAGAGCATCCTGAGGCTGTCCAATCTTAGCAAGAAACAGAGCTCTAGGAGATTAGCGAGGTCTGAAATGGCTGATGGAATAGACAGTGGCCAACTATGTGCCATCTCTAGAAATAACTGGCATGTTATGAAGGTATCGGTGGTGGCAGGCCACTGATCACCTTCGTGCAGAAGAGTTAACAGGCCTAAGATGGATATCCATAGAAGGGCCTGTTTGCACGGATGGGCTGGTGGCTTGCAGGAGAACTTGGATTTTAGGGTTCCCACCATTCCCTGGTTAGAGTGGCTCTCTGGGCCTAAGCTTTGTACAAACAACATGGCTTATGCTGCATACCTGCTTTCCTCTTGGAAGTCTGGAATTTTGGTACATGCTAGGCAGAAGATGCCTATGTGACCAGCTCCCAATAAAAATCCTGGGCATTGAGTCTCTAATAAGCTTTCCTGATAGAAAACATTTCACATATGTTGAAGTAAGGTGTCCCATGTGACTCCACTGGGAGAGAACTCTTGGGAGCTTGCACCTGGTTTCCTCTGAACCCAGGTGCTCAGGCACCTTTTCCCTTTGTTGATTTTGTTTTGTATCCTTTCACTGTAATAAATCATAGCCATGAGTATGACTATATGCTGAGCCCTGTTGAGTCTTCCTGGAAGTGGTCTTGGGAGACCGCCACATACCTAATCTTTATGAACTTTTGTGCCAAAGTATCAATCCTTTCCTGAGTTCTAAATCATATTAGCTAAGGCTACAATTCTCTCAGCTTGGTATGATGATACTGGCTATTTCATATTACATTAGAAGCTCTCTGATTTGTAGTTCTATATGTCTGATTAATTAAAAAAGAGGGTGATGTATTTGAGCTAATGAGTATAATTGACCTCAGAGGTAAGTCTTTTGAAACATTAGATCTGGGTGGGTGGAGGCAGGAACATATTACAAAGAAAGAGAAAGCCAGAACTAAGAATGTTTTACTAGCTCTTGATTTTATTTTTCAGTGATCCCCACTCCTCTCCTACAATATTCACCCCCAAATTCTCTTTTTCCTGATTGAACAACTGGCTCTGAAACACCTGTAACTTCTGAGGCCAGTAGAGATCTGCTATTCCATGCTACTATGAATCCTTGGTAGTCAGGTCCCTTCAAACCCTGAGATTCCAAGAGATTCTAATAACGCATAGAAGAATGTAGATTTTTGGGGTCTCTGACACCTAGCAGAACAGGCCATTATGTAATGACCCAGGGCCTTAGAGGGACTTGGGCTTGAGGCTTCTGCTTTGCCTGAGAGGTCAGGGCCGAGAGCTACAAGGAACCGGCCTTGTAGCCGGTTATAACTGCCGGCTCTTAATAGAATAACAGAACTGCCTCCCTCTGTAGAACTTGACAGTATTTGGGCTTCACGGACTCAGCATTTGACCACCATAGATCTTCAGTTGACAAAAACAGGATATGTCCCCTGCGAAACCGCTTCCATAGTAAGCACCCTCTGGTTGGACTTTGTGACAGGATTAAACTCAAAAACTAACCACAGTTCCAAATTAGGACAGATCACTTACTGTTGCTGCCTCTTCCAGCGCCTGTTTGTTCCCTCCAAGGGCTTTAAAAAGAACATTTTATTTAGTTACTCTCAGATCTTAATGATAAACCATCTTCCCTGATATAACCCGTTATCTGTCTAGAACTGGACCAGATTAAGCCCTGGCTTCAACATTCAAGGAACTTTACAACCTTGTTTAATTTTTCTCCACATCTGGCTGGCCGCCTTATCACATATTCTAGGTCCCACCACACCCAAGTCCTTATTTCCCAAATGTGCCGCCATCTCTCATGACTCTGTGCCTTGGCACTTATTATTTCCTCTACCAGAAATGCTCCTCTGCACCCGACAAATTTCTAATTCATCTTTCAAAACTCAGTTCAAATCCAAAAGTCTTTATTTTTCTATCACAACAGATTGCGCCGAAGTGCTGAGCTAGTTGCTCACCCTCATCATACCCAGCAACTACTCAGAGCTGTTTAAGTGTCCACCCTGCCTTGAACTGAATTCCTTGAAGACAGTTTCGGGCAAAAATATGGCATGGGGTAGGTATGTAGCCAATGTGTGTTGAATGAAGAGGTCTGTGCAAGTTGTAGATGTAGAATAAAGTTCGGTTAAGCCTCCTTCAGAAACTCTCATAGTGTCCTGTAGAACGGTTAAGAATTCACACTTTGAACCAGAATGCCTGGTTTAAATACACTCTGCTACTAACTAGCTTATGAGACCTTGAGCAAAGTAACCAACCTCTCTGTGCCTTAATTTTATCATCTACAAAAGAGGAACAATGTTAACAATGAATACCTTTGTTATGAACATACAATTAGTTAACATATGCAATACACTCAGGATAATACCTGTCTGGCATAGGAAGCACTATATAAATGTACCTACTGACCACTACTCTTTCCCTTTTCTGGTACTTATAATTTTGACTATATAATCACGTGTGCACTTTTAAAAGGATCCTCCTCTACTAACTCATAAGCTCCTCAGGGTAGGCAACATCAGTGTTATTTCCCAAAGCATTTTCAGCCCCTAGCATTGTGACTGAGACATGCTCAATGAATATTTGTAGAAACATGCAAATAAAAGGGCAAGTCAAAGAATCATTAAATATCTATTTGAATAGAATGCGCATTTCTATTCAGGAAGGAGCCTATGAAATGGGTAATAATAAGGAAAATAGGAAAAGGGTAACCCAGCAGAAATGAAAGCCTCTTGCATGTCCTTGGACATTTAACAAGGGAGTGGAGAACAGGCTGCAATTTTTCTCCGGCCAGAAAGAATAGAGTCCTTGCACTTCACAATTTGATTTGCTCATTTTTTAGTTGACAGTTTCCATAAGATGCAGAAAGCACTGCTTGGGGGTTATCCTCCCATCTGAGCTCTGGTAGCAAACCAAGTTATTCACTTATTTGTTTTTAAATGATTGGACAAAAGTATTTAAAAGAGAGAGAGTGTGTGTTTTGTGACACATGAAATTCACACAAAATTCACTTTTCAGTGTGTCCATAAATACATTTTACTGGGACACATACCTGCCCATTCATTACAGCTGTTCTGGACATATAACAGCTTGAGTTGAGTAGCTGCAATAGAGAACCCTCTAGCCCAGAAAGCCTAAAGTATTTGCTATCTGCTCCTTTACAGAAGACGTTCGCCTACCTGCAGGGGTAGATGACGTTAAGTACTATGCAGAAAGGTAAAGCAAGGAAGTGAGATAAGGAGCGGGGTAAGCGGTAAGGCTGCGATTTCCTTAAAGTGATCCTGAAGACCTCACTCAGGTGACCACAGAGGCGCCCCAGGCCGAGGCCTGGGGAAACAGGAGCAGCTCTTACCAAAGTAGTCGAGCCAGTTCATCTCGCGCAGCGCCTTGGGGAGCCGCAAGATCTCGATGTTGTACAGGTTATCCATCTCCTTGAGGAGGTTCTGCCTGTCCGACTGAATTTGCTTGGATCGTATTTGCACTGCGAGAGGGCCAAGCCGACAGAACACGGGTCACTGGCGGGTGAACGGGGCCTGGAACCCGTGCTGCCCGCACCCCAATCCGCCGGCACCCCGCGATCGCCCCGGGCTCCGCCCCCTACCTTCACGGTCGAAGTCCCGAAGAAAGGAAGCCAGCTTCCGGCTCCGAACCGAGTTGGTCTTGGCCACCCGACTGCCGCCCTTCCTAGCCGGAGCCATGGCGCTTGGGTGGAGGCTGAGGGGAGCGGGGGATGCAGCCAGTGGGGGGTCAGCGGCCGAGGTTGGGGAGGGAGATTAAGGGGGCCGCGGAGGAGCGGGAGAGGGCGGACGGGCGCCCCACGGGACTAATGGGGGGGCCCTGCCCTTGCAGACCCGAGCATAAAGGAGTCGCGAGGCACGTACCTGCGTGACACGAAACGGGTTGAGAAAACCCTCGCCGCTCCAGCTGAGGGGAGGGAGCAGCTCCGTGCCTAACCGGACGTGCGACGGCCGCCACCAAATTCAAACTGCCACAGACTGACCAATGAGAAGTCGCCGTCTTAGGAGGGTCCCATAGCATCCAATCACAAGGAAGCTCCGCGGCCCGGCCGCCGGTGCACACGTAGGACTACCGCACCCAGAAGGCACTGCGGTCTACGACATACGTTCGCGACTCGGTGGCTGCGTTGGGGCATGCGCAGAGAGACGGCGGGCGCTTGGTGGCGGCCCTGGCGGGTCCTGAAACTTTGAGGGAGTTAGCTTGAAGTTTTCCCGCTGGTTTAGGGAAAGCTACCGGCAGTTTCCGGGAAAGGAGACAAGATTCTGGCTCTGGAAGTACGGGTTCGGAGACAGCGCTTCGGCCCGGGGAATCCGCAGTCTGAAGCTGGAGACTACCCGAGCCGCGGGCGAACCTCCTCCGAGGGCTGGTCGGGAAGCCCTCCCGGAGGTGGGAAACCAAGGCCCGGCCTCCGGAGCCCCTCTAAAGGTAAGACAACGCCTCGCGTCAGGACGTCCTGTCGGAAGGGATACACAGTCCTTCGTGAGGGGACCCTGGTTTAGCGGGACCTCACTTGCGCACGGAAATCACTGGACCCGCTACTTCCCCTTCCGACTTGAGACCCTAATGCTGTTTTTTGTTTTGTTTTGTTTTTCTTTCTGTTGTTTGTTTATCTCGGCAGAAGATGACTCCAGAGCAGCCTTTGCTTGCTGTGCACGAGGCCCTGAGGAAATGCTTTCCCGTGGTGGAGGAGCAGCAGGGCCTGTGGCAGAGCACGCTGAGGGACAGCCAGCCCCTCCTGGCCTCCCTCAGCAACCTGGCAGAGCAGCTGCAGGCGGCCCACAATCTGCGGTTTGGGGACGTGCCTCCACTTCGGGCCTTCCCAGACTTAAAAGAGCGGCTGAGGCGCAAGCAGCTGGCGGCTGGCGACACTGTCTTGGACAAGTTAGGGGAGAGGCTGTAAGAGTTCGATGCCACTCCTTCTTGGTGGAAAGATTTGAAAAACTTGGTGTTTAATAAGTAGCGAGGATCAGTCAGAAGAGTGTTTTTCCCTTTACTTGAGAACATGGTATTTGGAGGTGTCTCAACCTTGCTTGTTGCAATGGGACCTCTTGTCAGAGTCATTTTATGGGGTGCCTGGGTGGTGCAGTCAGTTGGGCTTCCGGCTCTTGGTTTTGGCCCAGGTCGTGATCTCAGGCGGTGAGATCAAGCCCCATGTTGGGCTCTGCACTCGGTGCAGAGTCTGCTTGAGACTCTGCCTCTTTCAAATAAATAAATCAGTCTTTTTTTAAAAACTCATTTTATGGCATTTCCCTTGTCACATAGGGCACGGCAGTGGTGGTCTCAGTAGAAGTTACAAAAGTGGAAAAGAAAAGCAATCGAGAAAGCTTACTAAGCCCTTCTCTATTGTCTTCTTTTGTCAAAAGCAATGAGGAATTGTACTTTAAACTTAGTAGGTGCTAGAGCTAAGGGTTTTACATATATTCTCATATAAAATCTTTTCAACATCTCTGACTTAACCGCACTTAATCCCATTTTGCTGGTGAGGAAACAGGCTCAGATTGCCTGTGGTTGCACAGCTAGTAAATGGTAAAGCTGGGAGTCTAACTCAAGTTTGCCTGACACCAAGGCCAGAGTGTTCAGCCACCACTCTGTTCTGCTGTACATTGGTGTCTCTGTGCCAGTAATAGTACGTCTCTAAACTCTTAGTGCTTAACTCTGTTAAACAGTTAAACTCTGAAGTGAGACCCTCTATCTTACAGTTGTAAGTATTGAGGATAGACAAGAGACCTGGCACATAGGCCTTTCCATCCTTCCTTCCTTCCTTCCTTTCTTCCTTCCTCCCTTCCTCCCTTCCTCCCTTCCTCTCTCTCTTTCTTTCTTTCCTTCCTTCTTTTTAAGATTTATTTACTTTACAGAAAGAGCACAAGTGGGGGAAGGGGCAGAGGGAGAGGGAGAGGGAGAGAGAATCTCAAGCAGACTCCGCACTGAGCACAGAGCCCCATATGGGGCTCCATCTCATGACCCATGAGATCATGACCTGAGCCAAAATCACAGGTCGGATGCTTAACCAACTGAGCCACCCAGGCGCCCCGCACATAGGCCTTTTCTTGACTAGAACAAAAATAGTTTCTGGTGTATATAGTCTGTGCTGTAGACTAATGGGAAATGGTCAAATATGGGGACCTTCTGTGTAGCATTTGTACAAAATAACTAAGCACCTATGGGATGCCAAGCGCAAGGTGCTGGGAATATAACAATGAACCAGACTTAGTTTCTTAGCTGATTAGAGGAGAGACTGTCAAATTATGTTGTGGTATGTTCTGAGGTAGTGAACTTTTATTTTAGTTGATGGCATATTTTTGTGTGTGAGTATTGGGCTGTTATTTTAAATCTCTTTTTTTAATTGTGGCCACACATTTTGAAAGCCACAATTCTAGGTTAAGGCATGCTTTGCCCTCTGGGAAGTTGTGGCCTTCTCGGTGGCTGAGTCCCTTGGAGTCACCAGTGGAATAATAACAATACTGACCGTGAGCTAGGCACTTCCCTAAGCACCTTATAAGCACTATTGCATTTAATCTTCACAAGAACCCTTTCACTCATTCATTCATTGGACAAGTGTTTGTCGTTCTATGTGCCAATCTCAGTATTCTAGGTACTTAGGGTGTGCAGTGAGCAAAACAGACCGTTTTTATACACGACTGAGGATAAGTAACTTTCCTAAAATCCGCAGTAGTCTATGTGCACCCAGAGCAATTTTTCCCATTTGGACATTTGGCAGTATCTGGAGACATTATTGATCGTCACAACTTGGGGAGGATGGGGCATGGTTTGCTCCTGTCATCTAGTGGGTAGTGGCCAAGGATGCTGCTCAGTGCCCTAAAATGCACAGGGCAGCTCCTCACCACAAAGAACCATCCAGGTCGAAATGTGAGTGTGCTGAGGTTGAGGAATCCTGCCTCAGGCCTTCTCATGGTGTTGTCTAATAGCCTTTTTTCCCCCAGAGCCACCCTCCTCAAGGTGCGTGACACCGTCAGCAGGCACGTGGAGCAGGTGCTTGAGATCTATGAGCAGCATGCAGACTCGATTGGCATTGATGCTGTTTTGCAGGCTTCAGTGGTCAGCCCTTCTGTGGCTGACATGTTGGAATGGTTGCAAGATATTGAGAGACATTATCGAAATTCGTATCCTTTGCACACGTTTCAGTGTCCAGAGCTGCTTCAGGAAGTCTTTTTTTTAATTTTTTTATTGTTATGTTAATCACCATACATTACATCATTAGTTCTTCATGTAGTGTTCCATGATTCATTCTTTGTGCATAACACCCAGTGCTCCACGCAGAACGTGCCCTCTTTAATACCCATCACCAGGCTAATCCGTCCCCCCACCCTCCTCCCCTCTAGAACCCTCAGTTTGTTTTTCAGAGTCCGTCGTCTCTCATGGTTCGTCTCCCCCTCCGACTTACTCCCCTTCATTCTTCCCCTCCTGCTATCTTCTTTTTTTTTTTCTTAACATATATTGCATTATTTGTTTCAGAAGTACAGATCTGTGATTCATCAGTCTTGTACAATTCACAGTGCTCACCATAGCACATACCCTCCCCAATGTCTATCACCCAGCCACCCAGTCCCTCCCACCCCCCACCACTCCAGCAACCCTCAGTTTGTTTCCTGAGATTAAGAATTCCTCATATCAGTGAGGTCATATGATACATGTCTTTCTCTGATTGACTTATTTCACTCAGCATCACACCCTCCAGTTCCATCCACGTCGTTGCAAATGGCAAGATCTCATTCCTTTTGATGGCTGCATAATATTCCATTGTGTATATGGAATGGAATATTATGGACATCTTGACTCTTTCCACAGTTTGGCTATTGTGGACATTGCTGCTATAAACTGGGGTGCATGTACCCCTTCGGATCCCTACATTTGTATCTTTGTGGTAAATACCCAGTAGTGCCATTGCTGGATCGTATGGTAGCTCTATTTTCAACTGTTTGAGGAATCTCCATACTGTTTTCCAGAGTGGCTGCACCAGCTTGCATTCCCACCAACAGTGTAGGAGGGTTCCCCTTTCTCCGCATCCCTGCCAACATCTGTTGTTTCCTGACTTGTTAATTTTAGCCATTCTGACTGGTATGAGGTGCTATCTCATGGAAGGTTTTGATTTGGATTTCCCTGATGCTGAGCGATGTTGAGCACTTTTTCATGTGTCTGTTGGCCATTTGGATGTCTTCTTTGGAAAAATGTCTGTTCATGTCTTCTGCCCATTTCTTTTTTTTTTTTTTTTTTTTAAAGATTTTATTTATTTATTTGACAGAGAGAGACACAGTGAGAGAGGGAACACAAGCAGGAGGAGTGGGAGAGGGAGAAGCGAAGCAGGCTTCCCGCGGAGCAGGGAGCCCGATGTGGGGCTCGATCCCAAGACCCTGGGATCATGACCTGAGCCGAAGGCAGACGCTTAACGACTGAGCCACCCAGGCGCCCCTTCTGCCCATTTCTTGATTGGATTATTTGTTCTTTGGGTGTTGAGTTTGATAAGTTCTTTATAGATTTTGGATACTAGCCCTTTATCTGATATGTCATTTGCAAATATTTTCTCCCATTGTGTCGGTTGTCTTTTGGTTTTGTGGACTGTTTCTTTTGCTGTGCAAAAGCTTTTTATCTTGATGAAATCCCAATAGTTCATTTTTGCCCTGGCTTCCCTTGCCTTTGGCGATGTTTCTAGGAAGAAGTTGCTGTGGCTGAGGTCGAAGAGGTTGCTGCCTGTGTTCTCCTTTAGGATTTTGATGGACTCCTGTCTCACGTTTAGGTCTTTCAACCATTTGGAGTCTATTTTTGTGTGTGGTGTAAGGAAATGGTCCAGTTTCATTCTTCTGCATGTGGCTGTCCAATTTTCCCAACACCATTTGTTGAAGAGACTGTCTTTTTGCCATTGGACATTCTTTCCTGCTTTGTCAAAGATGAGTTGACCATAGAGTTGAGGGTCTATTTCTGGGCTCTCTATTCTGTTCCATTGATCTATGTGTCTGTTTTTGTGCCAGTACCATACTGTCTTGATGATGACAGCTTTGTAATAGAGCTGGAAGTCCGGAATTGTGATGCCACCAGCTTTGCTTTTCTTTTTCAGTATTCCTCTGGCTATTTGGGGTCTCTTCTGGTTCCATACAAATTTTAGGATTGTTTGTTCCATTTCTTTGAAAAAGGTGGATGGTGATTACATGCCTTTTTGTGTGCTGGTTCAACCTACCTCTCAGCCACCTTTCCTTTTTTTTTTTTCTTTAAAATTTTTATTGTTATGCTAATCACCGTACATTACATCATTAATTTTTGATGTAGTGTTCCATGATTCATTGTTTGTGCATAACACCCAGTGCTCCACGCAGAACGTGCCCTCTTTAATACCCATCACCAGGCTAACCCATCCCCCCACCCCCTCCCCTCTAGAACCCTCAGTTTGTTTTTTAGAGTCCATCATCTCTCATGGTTCGTCACCCCCTCCGATTCCCCCACTTCATTCTTCCCCTCCTGCTATCTTTTTTTTTTTTTCTTAACATATATTGCATTACTTGTTTCAGAGGTACAGGTCTGTGATTCAACAGTCTTACACAATTCACAGCGCTCACCATAGCACATACCCTCCCCAAAGCACATACCCTCCCCAATGTCTATCACCCAGCCACCCCATCCCTCCCACCCCCCACCACTCCAGCAACCCTCAGTTTGTTTCCTGAGATTAAGAATTCCTCATATCAGTGAGGTCATATGATACATGTCTTTCTCTGATTGACTTATTTCACTCAGCATAACACCCTCCAGTTCCATCCATGTCGTTGCAAATGACTCAGCCACCTTTCCTACTGTTCCACACATTTCTTTGCCGGCCAGATTGGGGGATTTGGCCCTGAAACTAATCCATGCTTCCCCACTTCTGTGCCTTTGCTTATGCTCTTCCTGCCAGCCGGAATCTCCCTGCCGCCCTCTAAGTGGGAGGTAGGCGCCGCAGTGGCCTCTTTGATATCACTGAGACTCTTTGTTTTCATTTGCTGGTTTTTTTCCCCACCACAGTGAGATCCTAGGTTGTTGGGGCGATGTTTCATCCCTCCACCCCCATAGGACTGTGAGTGAAGGGGTGCTTGGTAAAGATGGGTGGTGTAGGTGAGTGCTGCCACCTGGTGAATAGAATGATAGCCCCTCTTTCACTCTTTGCTTCCTGTATCTCTCCCCAGGGCATTTTCCCCCTTCAGCATATTTCATTTGCTTTTTTTTTTTTTTTAATATTTTATTTATTTATTTGGGAGCGAGATCACGAGCAGGGGGGGAAGGGTAGAGGGAGAGGCAGACTCCCCACTGAGCAGGGAGCCTGGTGCGGGGCTTGATCCCAGGACCCTGGGATCATGACCCGAGCCAAAGGCAGACACTTAACTGAGCCACCCAGGCACCCTCATTTGCTTTTTGAGCAGTCCTTAACTTCCAGGAAGTTACCTGAAGAGGAAGTACCTCCTGTCCTCGATCCAGTGGGGAGATTTAGCAAACATCCAAGCTTTGCCCAAGGCCTGGAACCAAATTTCAGAAGATGAACACCAAAGCCTTGTACAAGGTACTGGTTTTCATTTATTCCTTCGTGTCTGTGGTCTCTTTGTAGGTCTCACTTCTTTGGAAGCATTACAGAGATGCCCTTGCAGTGCCCCTGTATTTTTTATAAATCGGATGTTTTGTGTTCTCTGGAGAGGTGATATGCCAGTTTTTCTCTCTTCCTATTCCAGATACCCTGTTGAATGTTTCCTTCTTCCTGGAAGAGTAAGGAAGCCGTGTGTTTACCAGCAAACTAGGGGGACACAGTTGAAGACTGATGTTGGTGCTTTCTGGTATGGTAACCTGACATACTTGAAAAATCAGTGCCTAGAGCCTGAGGACTACTGGCTTCTGATGCTGGGGTCTCTCCCTGTGATGTCACAGCTGAGGGCACATTGCCCTTTCCTAGGCTCCAGAGTGGAGGAGGCAGAGAGAATGCAGGAAAGGCAATGCAGGAGAACACTGGGGTAGGGACTACTGCCACAGAAGTGGTAGGGGAGGGGGTGTGGCACCACCCTCAGCATCACCCAGAGCTCTGAGCTTGTTTGACACCCAGCCCTGTTCTGTGTATTTGTGTCGGTCCCTGATTCTTTGATGGAAGATGATTCTTCTTGATGATTTAAAGAAATAAAGGTGATAATTGATGGAAGACAGTACAGCTCTTCCTCGACTTAGAGTGGGGTTACATCCTGATAATCCCATCGTAAATTGAAAATATTGTAAGTCAAAAATGCATTTAATACACCTAACCTACCAAACGTTAGTCTAGCCTACCTTAAATGTGCTCCAAACACTCACATTAGCCTACAGTTGGGCAAAATAATCTAACACAAGGCCTGTTTTATAATGAAATGTTGACTATCTCTGTAACTGATTGAAAAACAGGACAATGTATGGGCATCGAATGGCTGTGTCAGTTGTTTACCCTCGTGATCTGGGGGTGGACTAAGCTGTGGTGTGTGTGCTGCTGCCCAGCATCACGAGAGAGGAGCGGGCCGCATGTTGCCAGCTTGGGAAGAGACCCACGTTTGTGAAGTACGGTTTCTGGTGGACACGTATTGCCTTTTGCAGCGACAGAAGAGTTGAAAAATCCCCAGTCGAACCATCTGAGGTCAGGGCAGTGTGTCATTGTTTTCCAACTGCTGTAGCTCCAAGCCATCATGACAGTTTCCGGAGCCCGCCACCAGGGGGAGGTGGTGTAGCATGAGTTAGGCTCAGAGCTTTGTCTTTGAGGAGTTGTCCTCCCACCCCGTCTGAGAGTAAGTGCCTGGGGGTAGCCAAGACTGCTAAAATGACAGGGGTTTTGACCAAAGCTGGCGCCTGATTTGCCACATTCCTCTGATCTTGGAGTAGCTGCACGGTGGGAGAAGACCGCCCAGAATCAGGCCATCAGGGCTACGTTTCTGAAGCCCAGTGCCTTCATCTGTGAAATGGTCGGGTACTTCCAGACCTGTCAGCTTCGGGGGCTGTGGACAAATCTGGGTCATTGGATGTAAAGAGGTTTAATAAAGAGTATAGATATTTTTAAAATGAAGATGACTTTTTTCTTACTACAAAAGTGATATATATGCTTTTTAAAAAGTCATAGGAAAACTGTAGAAAAAAATATAAGTGTAGAAAAGTATGAAGCAAGCTCCATCAGAGATACTCTGATATATACCCTTTCAGTGTCCATATTCACAAATAAAAAAAAAAAATCCCCAAATATAGTATCATTGATATATACTGTTACTTAGTCTTTTTTTAAAAAGTAAAAAAAAAAAACAAAACATAGTTTGGCCATCTTTTCGTATCTGTAAAAATAGCTCAATGAAAGTACAGTAGATACCATTACACATATATACCATTTTATGAATGTATTAGAGCTTTTATTTTTCCAGATGTTCATGTGTTTCTACCTATAAAGATCATACATTGTGATTGTGAAAAACCGAAGTATTACAGAAAGTAAAAATGCACATGGTCTACTCTTTTTAACAATATGGTAGATATTTTTCCAGGAGCTTAAAAAATGTATCACATACATAATAATTATAAATAAAACTTATAAACATTTGGGTATCAGGCCTTATGATGTGCTCTGGGTCAGATGAAGGAGATCCCTATAAAGGTTTATAGTTCAACCAGGGAAACATTTAAACCAGTGTCTCTTAAGTTTTAATGTGTATAGAAATAACTGAGCTCTTGTTAAAATTCAGATTCTGATTCTGTAGGCCTAGGGTGGCAGTGCCCTAGATTCTACATTTCTCACAAGGTCTCAGGTACTGTTGATGCTGATGATCCAGGGACCAGACTGAGTTGAGGAGACTTAAATTGTAAAACAATAATAAGTGTTTTGTGGGGCTGGAGGATGGACAAAATAGGTGAAAGGCAGTAAAGGGCACAAACCTCCAGTTATAAGTTATGGGGAGGTAAAAAAAAAAAAAAAGTGTTATATTTGACATTAAACGGAAGAGAGGGGACACCTGGGGGGCTCAGTTGGTTATTAAACAACTGCCTTTGGCTCAGGTCATGATCCCCAGGGTCCTGGGATCGAGTCCTGCATCCAGCTCCTTGCTCAGGGGGGCGCCTTCTCCCTCTCCCTCTGCTGCTCCCCCTGCTTGTGTTCTCTCTCTCTAACAAATAAATAAAATCTTAAAAAAAACAGAAGAGAGGTGGTAACTAATGGCTTGTCGGAATACTTCATAGTGACAGTGACATCTGAATTAGGACTTGGGGATGGAGAGGAGCACAGGGTGTTGCATGCCCAGGGGATAGTCTAATAAGCAAAAGCAGTGTTTGAGAAAGATTGGAATCCAGCATGGATCAAAAGTTTGCTGTGTACCAGGCATTGTGCTTGTTGCTTTTATCTCCTAGAACTGGCAAATGTTAATAGTTCCACTGACCAACTCAGTAGCGTTCATAGAGGGATGGAGGAATGGCTCCCTAGGGTGGACTGGAGTCCAATTGTGAAGAGCCCTGAATGCCTGGCTCGAGAGTATGTATTTTGTTCTGCAAGTGGGAGGTGTGTGTGTGTGTGGGTGTGGGTGTGTGTGTGTGTGTGTGTGTGTGGTACAGAGCTCTTTAAATCCTGACCATAAATAGATACAAGGATTTTACAGTGCTTCATAACTATGTATTACTTATCACTTTTTATTTTGTTCCTTATTTTTTTACTATTAAAATGCAATCTTTTTAATTGTCCTTCTTAAATTTAAAATAAATTTATCTTTTGAATAAGTGACACATTCACATTGTGTAAAATTCAAAGGGTACAAGAGCACATTCAGTGAAAAGTTCACCTCTCCCAGTTACTCACTTCCCTTCCCTGGAGGCAACCAGTGTAAAATGTTTCTGATGTATTCTTCCAAAAATAGTCTTTACCCATATCCGCACAGTGGTTGGTAGCCTCTAAGATAGTCCCCAAGTGTCCCACCTCTGGTATTCATGTCCTTGTGTACTCTCCTCTCCTTCAGTGTGGGCTGGGCTTACAGATTTGCTTCTATGAACAGACTACTGCAGAAGTAGTGGGGTGTTACTTCTGAAAATAACTGATAAAAAAAAAAAAGACTGCAGCTTCCAACTTGGGTCCATCGCTCACTCTCGTATCCCTCACCCTCAAAGAGGTCAGCTGCAGTGCTCCAAGGCAGCCCCATGGAGTGCTCATGTGAGAAGCCAGCCAGCAACCACATGACAGCTTGGAAGCAAATCCCTAACCTCCCCCCCCAGTTGAGCCTTCATTTGAGACCACAGCCCCAGCTAACAGCTCAATTACAACTTCGTGAGGACCTAAGACAAAGGCAACCAGCTAAGCTGTGTGCAGATTCCTGACCCATGGAAACATAATAAATGTGTTTTTTTAAGATTTTATTTATTTATTTGACAGAGCGCGAGAGCAGGAACACAAGCAGGGGAAGTGGGAGAGGGAGAGCAGGCTTCCCAAGGAGGGGGCCCGATGTGGGACTTGATCCCAGGACCCTGGGATCATGACCTGAGCTGAAGGCAGACGCTTAACGACTGAGCCACCCAGGCGCCCCAATAAATGTTTTTTTTAAATCATTAAGTTTTGGGGTAATTTGTCCTACAGCAATAGATAACTAATACAACAAACAAATGGGTTTTGGGGTTTTCTTAATTTTGTACGAATAGTAGCATGCTACAGACTCAGCTTTGCACCTTTTTTTTTCCAATTACTGTATCTTAGAGATCATTCTATGTGAATACATAAGGAGCTTCCTTAATTTTTTTCTAAAACAGTTGCATATTTTTCTGTTGTTTTGGGTATACCATAGTTTATTTAACTAGCCCCTTACTGATGGACATTAGGTTTCCAAAGGCTTAGTGTCTTACAGGTTTCTGCAACCTTCTTGTACTCCCACCCCCGTTCGTTATGCCTGTTTTCCCTGGAATTTTTCAGTTAGCTAATCATACCCCACCCAGTCACCCAATGAAGAAAGAACTCTGTTGGTGTTTTTACTGGACTCATATTTATAAAGGAGAATAATCATAGTGGGAATACTTCCAGTGCTCCTTTTTTGTTAAAGATTTTATTTATTAGAGAGCAGTGAGTCAGGGGAGAGGGAGAAGGAGAGAGACAGAATCTCAAACTGACTCCCTGCTGAGCATGGAGCCTGATGTGGGGCTCAGTCTCACAACCCTGAGATCATGACCTGAACCCAAATCAAGGGTCGGACGCTCAACCAACTGAGCCACGCAGGCGCCCCCCACCATGCTGCTGCTTCATGCCATAGCTTATGGGTTGAGATATTAGATGTAAGCTGTTTTCTCTTTCCCTCAGGGAAATAGATTCTCGGTGGTCAGGACCCCTTCCGTGCTGATGAGACAATCTGTTGGGATGAAATGAAGAATTTAGGTCTCTTTCCTTCCGGTCTCTACCAGATCCACATTTAGAAATTGACCTCAAAATTCTCTTGACAGAGTAGTGGTTTTTCAAAGCCGGTGGGATCCTAGGCTCCGAAGAGGAGGAATTCTGCCTGCCCAAGGAGAGTCCAGATTGTGCGGTGACTGTATTTTTTTTTTAAATTTTATTTATTTATTTGAGAGAGAGAGAGAGAGAGAGAGAGAGAGAATGAGAGCACGAGAGGGAAGAGGGTCAGAGGGAGAAGCAGACTCCCCACTGAGTGGGGAGCCCGATGCGGGACTCGATCCCGGGACTCCAGGATCATGACCTGAGCCGAAGGCAGTCGCTTAACCAACTGAGCCACCCAGGCGCCCGTGCGGCGACTGTATTATGTCTGACTTTAATCTGGATGATGGGGGCCAGGTACCATCTCCAACTGTTCAAGTGTTTAGTTGTTTACAATGCCTCCTCTCTGCACATTTGCATGGGAGGGTGCACATTTGGAGGAGGAGGTTCAGGGAGGAGGGGAAGGAACTCGTGCATAATCAACTCGGGAAAGCTTGCTGAATTGCAAGTGACCCAGACCTGGGTTCAAGTCTCAGCTCAGCCTCTTACCAGCTAAGTGACCTTGGGTAAGCCATCTTCCCTTTCGGTTTCAATTTCTTGTGTATTGATGGAGATGATGATCTATCCCTTACAGGATTGTAAGTTTTAAGTGAGAAGAGCTATGTGAAGGGTTTTGGTAAATTTAGAAACATAGAAGGGGTTGACATTTACTCCAAGCTTATTAGTCACCTAAGTGGGCAGCTGTGCGGTGCTCTTGAGCATCTTCGACACTTAGCAAGTGGTGCAGCAAGCGTGATTCGAGAGACAGTGGGTTTCCTAAGTGCCCACAGCTCATCAGCGACAACCCTGGTTGCACCAGGGTTTTCTTGCTTCTGGTGGAAGGAGTCTTTCCCTTTCACGAATTTCCTCTCGGCATCCCTGACGCCCACTCAGCTGTGATGACAAGAGTTGGGTTTCCTGAAGACCCAGTCCTGCACGGGACAGGGTTCCTCCAAACAAGGCGAGTGCAGCGCGGCCCCCACCTGCCTGGGCAGTGGCACACGCAGGGCTCTCTCGGGGCAGCTGCCACCTTGCCAGCCAGCCTCCCCTCAGGTCCCACCCATTGCTGCGAGAGCTGGAGGGAGTCCTGAGGCTGTCTGCCAGAGTCTCACACTTTTGCCCCTAATTCCTGGGCTGGGAGGAGATAGTCGGTCCTTCTCAAGGAAGGACAGGGGTGCCCCTTCCAGGTGCTCTCCCTCCCCATCATTCCTAGAACGCTCCTCAGTTTGTCTACAGAGTGCAAAGGAAAGCCGTTGTTTTCTGAGACTGGTACCTGGTACAGCATTTGAGGGCCCCAGCCCCAGAGATTCCGACCTGGCACGTGCGAGGAAGGGCTGGATACCTGCATTCTTATCAAGGACCCTCATTCTGTTGCAGGGCCATTCTTTCAGAAAGAGCTTTAATCCTAAGAAAAAGCAGCAGAGAGGGAGCTGGGTAGAGAAGCTGCAAAGATGGGGCTTCTCTGGGGAAGAACGTAGCCTTAATCACTTCCTGATTGCACCTCTTCTTCCCTCGGTGTTTCACATCACTTGCTCAGTCCTCAACCCTGACCGGCACCTCAGTTCTCTTCCCCCAACCCCTTTGGGCCGTTTGGAGAGGGGTCATAGTCACTTCTGTATAGGGCACCTTACAGTCTACCACATCCATATTCATTCGTTCAGAGGCCTCCCTGCGTGCCCCGCACAGAACCGATTATGGGGGATCCAAAGGTAAATAAGAGAAGTACCCGGTCTAGCAGGCCAGACAGACATGAAAGCCCAGGTCAGAACTGCTGTCATAAAAGGACACGTGGGGAAGGCAGTGAATGGAGGGTGATGGATTCTTTTTGTGGCTTTTTGTGGGAGGCAAGGAAGGGGGATGTAAGAGTAGATCCCCAGCAACTGAATTTCAGGGAGAATTTTCCCTCCGGTCTCTACTGGAGAAAGGAACGAGGGGAGGGTGAGCATGGGCCACTTGCCATCATGTGAGCAGGGAGCAACCCGGGTGCTTGCTTGCTCGGACTCTTCCCTCCCCGATTCCGATGTGCGCACTAGTTCTTAATTTGCACAAAGAGCCCAGACTAATAAATCCACCACTCAATTGCAATCCCCACAGCGCGTTTATAGGCAGC